GTTCAGCCACAACTTTGCTTTGATGATCGTGGCTCATCTCAGTATTTACCGTGGCGACGGTGTTGTCGTGCTTCCCAACTTTGACCTGTTTGATTTGCTTCGTGTAATCCAAGATTATCGCCTCGGGCGATTATGGATGGTGAGCTATGCAATGCAACATCTGTGATGACATACCACTAACGATTTTGACAGGTGCCCGCTATGGTTGGTGCCATGCTCAAAGCCACCGAAATTGTCAAGCAATATGATCTCAGCAGTGTCAACACTACCGTCGTCGGCGCCGCCATCCTATCCGCAGACGTACGCGCACGCTACACCCAGCTTGTGCCGGGATCTAGGCTAGTCCAAGGCTATGGCCTGACCGAGACCACTGTTGCCGTCACCTTCGAGAACCCTCACGATATCGTCGTCGGCTCATGCGGTAACCTGTTCCCTGGTGTCGAGGCTCGTCTCGTCGACCCTGCCTCTGGCAGTGATATCGAGGAGCATGGCAAGCAAGGTGAATTGTGGGTCCGGTCAGAAACCATCATGCAGGGCTTCTACAAGAACGACGCTGAAACCGCCTCCATGCTGGGCAAGGACGGCTGGCTACGCACCGGCGACCTGGTCGAGTTCAGAAAGAGTCCAAATGGGCATGATCACATCTTCCTCATCGACCGTATCAAGGAGTTGATCAAAGTTAGGGTAAGTTGCCACCCAAGATCCTCGCCTCGGGACGTTTCGAAGCATGAAATGATGCTTACGATGTACAGGGCATGCAAGTATCTCCCACCGAGATCGAAGATCACCTCCTCCTGCATCCGCTGGTGGCAGACATCGTCGTCGTGCCCATACCGGACGACGCAGCAGGCGACCTCCCCCTCGCGTTCGCGGTCAAGTCGCCGCTGGCGGCAGGCAAGACTGATGAAGCGATTGCAGAGGCGCTAGTCGACTACGTTGCTGGCGAGTTCGCTGCACATAAGCGTCTGGCTGGCGGAGTCGAATTTGTGGATAGCTTGCCGAAGTCGGCGAGCGGGAAGACGAAGAGGGGTGTGATGAGGGCCAGGGCAAAGGAGGTCTTGAATGAGAGGAGGGCAAAGGCGGCGGCGAAAATGATGGAGGTTTTTGATTTTGACTCGGATGAGGAGGAGGATGAGATTGATAATATTGCAGCACAAGCACGCAGGGCATCTGTTGTGCAGGTCGTGGCGTAAATTCGAGTACATCAAGGCATGGTCGGCGTCATAGGATTGGGATCGTCCGACTCTCTTATTATTTATATGGAGCCCGGAGGATAGGACTATTTGTGAGAATTAAAGTCATCCTCTTTCAAAAAAGTGAATGCTGTCGTATGATCTCAGGTCCTGTCGGGTATATCTAAAATCAACTACTACAAACATTAATTCGTGGTACCATGGGTCATTTAGGGTTGTAGTTCGGCGGCTCTCTCAAAGGGCACCGGCGCACCCTCGAGGGTGCCGCTAGCTTATAAGCCCCCAGAGTCATAAAGCAGGCATTGTGATGTTACATGCTGAGGGTGCTTCGGAACTGTTTGAGAGTGCCGCTAAGCTGGTCGTTTTTGCTATCCAGAACTTGACAAGTCACGTGGTCGGGCAGATAAGCGATCGTCGTCACGTGATATCGTTATCTGGTTCAGCACAGATCAGGTTAATCACAACCGCAACTCCCTTATCTCTTTATCTCGACCCACTGCATAGCGATTCAGACACTGATCTCTCTCGATCAAGCCCCCGCAATGATAAGCTATCTTGGATCAGCACCTCCGCGGTTCTGCACACAGGGGCGCGGAGACGCCTTTCACGTCATTATACACTCCGCAATAATCGGCCATTTGGATGAATCGTGTATTTCCGGGGTGGTGGTTCCAGCCCAGATGCGATATACAGTTCTACGGGTTCTGGAACTGGTGTGGTAGGTAGTGCTTCCTCTTCACTTCTGCCCGTAGACCCTATGTTTCCTCTGCATCATTTGCCCAAGTCATTTTCTCTCTAATATATCTGAGCAATCTCCTTTTGTATTGTAAAGTGGTGATGAGAAGCGCTCTCGTCTGATAGTGCTATCGACAATGGCAACCACCACAGTCACAGTCGAAGCCAAGAGCGAAGAGGCTCTTCAACACCACCGCACATCCGAGAATTGGCCTCCCACTCCACCAGAATCGATACATAGCGAGCACGAAAAATTTGATGCACCTAACTTTCCTCTCCCTCCTCCATCAAAACGACCGATTGATGTCCTCGATGCCGACAAGAAGACACCCGACGGCTGGTTAGCCAGAGATCCGAGATTGATACGCCTGACGGGTGTGCATCCATTCAACGTCGAGGCTCCACTTACAGAATTGTTCAACGAGGGATTTCTCACCAGTCCTGGGTTATTCTATGTTCGAAATCATGGCCCAGTTCCTCAAGTGGGCGATGCAGATATCCCAGACTGGGAATTCTCTATCGAAGGGTAATGACCTGATCCAGTCGACAACATTGCACTTGATCGCGACTAATGCTGTCCTAGAATGGTGGAGACACCGATCAAAATCACATTCAGAGAGCTTCTTTCAGAATACGACCAGGTCACCTACCCGGTCACATTCGTCTGTGCCGGCAACAGACGGAAAGAGCAAAACGTCGTACGTAAGACTAAAGGCTTCTCTTGGGGTCCAGCTGGCGTCTCTACTGCTCTATGGACCGGTGTGCCTATGCTTGAGGTCTTGAAACGAGCAAAGCCACTCCGAGGCGCACGCTATGTCTGCATGGAAGGTGCGGATAAGCTTCCGAATGGCTACTACGGCACTTCAGTCAAACTCAATTGGGTCATGGACCCAAACAGAGGCATCATGCTGGCGCACAGGATGAACGGCGAGATGCTTACGCCGGACCACGGAAAACCATTAAGGGCTGTTATACCTGGCCAGATCGGCGGAAGAAGTGTGAAGTGGCTGAAGAAATTAATCGTAACCAAGGAACCCAGTGATAATTGGTACCACATCTACGACAACCGAGTCCTGCCAACGACTGTGTCTCCCGAAGAGTCGGCAAACAACAAATCGTGGTGGACGGATGAGCGATATGCCATTTACGACCTGGGTCCAAACTCTGCCGTCGCGTTCCCTGCGCATGAAGAACGACTAAGCCCCGCCGCTGCTCCAAAGACATACCGAGCAAGGGGCTATGCATATGGTGGTGGTGGACGGCGAATAACAAGATGCGAGGTCACCCTCGACAAAGGTAAAACATGGAAGTTGGCAAATATCGACTACGCCGAGGACCGGTATCGCGAAGCTGGCGAGCAGATGCTTTACGGTGGTAGGCTCGACGTAGAATGGCGGGAGACTTGCTTCTGCTGGTGTTTCTGGGATATTGAGCTTGATGTCGATGAGCTCAAGGATGCAAAGGACATCTTCATCCGCTGTATGGACGAGTCCATGAATGTCCAACCACGAGACATGTACTGGAGTGTTCTGGGGATGATGAACAACCCTTGGTATCGAGTCACTATACACAACGAGGACAATAATCTACGCTTCGAGCACCCTACCCAGCCGGCCCTTATGCCAGGAGGATGGATGGAACGGATCAAGAAAGCTGGCGGCGACCTCACGAACGGTTACTGGGGCGAGTCAGTCGACGGCTCAGCCCCCTCCGCCCCCGTCGAATCCACTTCAGAAGAAGTAAAGATGACAAACGACACCATCAACCGCGAGATCTCCCTAGAAGAATTCCAAGCCCACAACACCGACGAAGATCCCTGGTTCGTCGTCAACGGGGAAGTGTACGATGGCAAACCCTTCCTCGAAGGCCACCCAGGCGGCGCATCGAGCATCACCTCCGCAGCAGGGCAGGATAGTACCGACGAGTTTATGGCCATCCGTACATCCCCCTCCCCTCTCCTTCTTACTCCCCACTGACAGCTTGCAGACTCCGAGACCGCAAAAGCAATGATGCCCAAATACCACCTCGGACGGCTCTCCGCCGCCGCTCTCGAAGCACTAGCAAATCCTGCGGCCGACTCCGGGCCAGACACATCCCCCGTGTTCCTGTCGCCAAAGACATGGAAGGCCGCCGTGTTGGCAAAGAAGATCTCCCTCTCCCCGGACGTGCGGCTGTTCACCTTTTCGCTGTCCACGGCGACGCAGACGCTTGGTCTGCCCACAGGGCAACACTTGATGCTGAAGCTACCTGATGCAGCGGGCGCGAGCGTGATTCGTGCTTATACGCCTATCTCTGAAGCAGATGATGAGGGCAAGGTCGATGTGCTGGTCAAGGTCTACCCCGTGGGGAAGGATGGGAAGTTGGGCATGACGCAGCTTATTGATCGGATGGACGTGGGAGGGAAGATTGAGGTCAAGGGGCCAGTGGGGAAGTTTACTTACCTTGGGAAGGGGGCGTGTAGTGTCTCTTCTGCGGTGAGGAGTGTTAAGAGGTTCGTCATGGTGTGTGGGGGAAGCGGGGTGACGCCGATTTATCAGGTGTTGAGGGCGGTGCTGACGGAGGAGAGCGAGGTGCAGTGCATTGTGTTGGATGGGAATAGGAATGAGGAGGATATCTTGCTGAGGACGGAGATGGATGCGTTGGTTGCGGGGAGTGGGGGAAGGGGAGAAGTGGTGCACAGCTTGAGTGCTGGGGGTGAAGGGTGGAAAGGCTTGAGGGGACGGGTGGGAAGGAAGTTGTTGGATCAGTATGCTGCTAAAGAGGTGGTGTGTAGGGATGGCGTGGTTGAGGACGAAGTCATGATTCTGATATGTGGGCCACCGGCCTTAGAAGAGAGCGTGAAGAAAGAGTTTGGACTGATGGGCTGGACAGAGAACAACATGCTCTTCTTCTAAATTACGCAGGTTATGATAAATCTTGGGCAAAATGGGCAGGATCATGCATCTATGAAGCAAACTTCAAATTGTTTGAAGAATTACCTAGTCTGTTGCATACCCTAGTCGACAGTCTGAAGCACTCGTGAACGTGCACCAAGGGATATGTCCTGCCATGCTCGTTAGGTCACTTTCATATGCTTCCTTGGCTCAGTCGGTAGAGCGTCAGTCTCATATGTCTTGCTTGGGCGATCTGAAGGTCGCCAGTTCGATCCTGGCAGGGAGCAGAGATTGTCTGATCTTTTTACATCTTTTTGATTGTTTGGGTGTGCTTAGAACGAATCCACTGAAAGCCCCGGCCTCAATATGGTCCCAGACCCCAGAGTATGGCGAATACGGGCAAAGCACCGATCCAGTGCCGCGGAGGTAATTTTTCTGATATCGAAATCAGGTATTTGCTGGAATGCTCCGAGTATGAACGAAAAAACTTGCAGCAAGATAACAATTACTTTGATTGAAATCTATATACAGAGATAGAAGGCGTCGGAGCAGACTCAGGCCAATCACATGCTGCCTTGGCGGAATGCTCGCTTTAAAGTCTCCCCTCGGTTCGCGCGTAAAATAAACGACACGCGACACCTGGTCGGTCATTCTTTCAACCAATTCTAGTACACCGCACTCGTCTAATTTTCGCCCCCGGCCTCTGCACAGGAGCAAGCCGCTGCGCCGTAATGCACCATGGCCGACGAAGTTCCCGTCGTCCCGGATGAACTCGACTCGTTCAGTCTGATACTTCCCCTACCCTTTCGAGTAGCAATCATTCTGGTTCTAGGTCAGGAGTACGAGACCGTTCACTCAGGACAGGGAATCTGACTGATATAGGTGTCTGGGCATGGGGATTGAACTTGCACTATCTCCGCGCAATTAAGATTGTAAGCTTTCTGCTTGATGGACATCCACTCTTGTAGACTAACAGTTGTAGGATGTCCCAGCATTGATTCACTACCCCGGCCGCTCCTCTGCAACCGAACCTTCCCACCATCTCTCCACCTACCGTCTTGCTTCCATTCTCACTATCCCCCTCGCCGCTTCGTTGTTCCTCTTCTGGATGATCACGCACGGCAACCAACAAGCTGCCCTCAATTGGCAAATCCTCCCCAACCTCTACCTCCTCGGCCTAGTGGCCACCTTCGTGATCCCAGTCCACTTCCTTTCGCGATCCGGTCGCTATCGCACGCTTTCGATCCTCCGGCGCATCAGCATTGGCGGTCTGGCCGAGCCGCAAAATGGAAAGTTTGGGGACATCTTGATGGCTGATGTGTTGACCTCGTACGCCAAAGTGCTTGGCGATCTCTTCATCGCACTATGCATGTTCTTCACGCCGGGAAAGAGCTCGACGGGGCGACCAGACAGGAGCTGCGGAGGGCCGTGGCTGATACCCCTGATCATTGCGATACCCAGCATGATCAGGTTGCGCCAGTGTCTTATTGAGTACTATAGGGTGCGGGCTAGTAATCAAAAGACGGGGACGATTGGGAGTCATGGATGGGGCGGACAACACCTGGCCAATGCGCTCAAGTACAGCAGCGCATTTCCCGTCATCGCACTCAGTGCTCTACAAAGAGGATTTGATCCTGCGAAAATCGGCTTGTCCGAGACTAGCTTGTTCAGGCTTTGGTATATTCCGACCTTCGTCCTCGCTTCACCCTCATGCTGACTGTGAGCAGGCTTTTAGCTGTGTTTGTGAATTCATTCTATTCGTTCTGGTGGGATGTGACTAAAGATTGGGACTTGACGCTCTTTTCTGTGTCTGCTACGAAGGACAGGAATGATCCGGATCATCCTTTCGGGCTGCGCAAGAATCGCTTTTTCCATGTTCATGAAGTCTACTATGCTGTCATAGCTATAGATCTGATGCTGAGGTGCACCTGGAGCTTGAAGCTCTCGCCTCATCTATATCACTTCAACGACCTGGAGGGCGGTATTTTCATGATGGAGCTGCTCGAAGTCTTCCGGCGCTGGGTCTGGATTTTCTTCAGAGTAGAGACCGAGTGGGGTGAGTGTGTTCTTTGACAAAATGTCCTGCAAGTGGCTGACTTTTCTCCGCAGTGCGAAACAACCGTCCTCCTGTACCACAAGAGGACGTACTGCTCAGCGATTTTGGAAACAAGTACGAGGACGAGTAACAAATGTAGAATACCTTTTTCAATCCTCAGCGTTCAAGCGAAAAGAGAGGTGTTTTTTACCGCCTCGAAAAGATAGAATTTTAGATCCGCTGTACAGTCATCTTGATTAAACGACCCCGAACACACTAGTCGTGTGGCGATAATGTACGGCGTCCGGCTCCTGAAATTGGGTATATATTCAGCCGACATGTCTTCGGCGTTGCTGATCGTTCGTTTCAATCATCAACTTTTGGATGTCCGAGACCTTGGTGGACCAGGTACAGGGCTGGCACGGCTCCTCGTCGTGGCAAAGATGCTCACGATCGACCATTCTTTTTCGACCGCAACTCCTCGATAGCAATTCTCGTGCCATCGACGATGATTTTCCACTCGACCTGGTGAATCCTCTCCTCGAGCTCATCCACACTCTCGGCCTTTTTGATCTCCACTTCCCGGACCAGAATTGGAGAGCCCATATCTACTTCTGAGATAACATGGTGCACCATGGCCCCAGTCTTGCTCACCTCACCTTTCTGAAATGCCTCATGCGCTCTCTGAATCGCATGCGTGCCATTGAAAGCGCCGGGTAGTGCAGGGTGGAGGTTGATGACAGGAACACCAGCTTCTTGTAAAGGATTTAAGAAAGTGGGAGCAAGGATATGCATCCACCCCGCACATACCACAATATCCGGTTTGTCCTTCAGCACCAGAGTCGCGAGATCGCGGTCATATTCGGTACGAGCCTGTGTGTGTTTGCCAGAGGCCCCTTCTGGATCTGGGAACCTGCTCTTATATCCGACAAGATTGTGATAGCTGGTCGGAATGCCTGCTTTCTCTGCTCGTTGCAGGCCGAATGCTGTCTTGCGGTTGGAAATGACCCGGATGAATTGGACATTGGGAAGAGCCGGTGTCGAGGCAGCGTCGATCAATGCTTGCAGATTCGTGCCGCCGCCGGATATGAGCACTGTAATGCGCGTTGGGGTGTCGTCTGCGCTCATGACTGGCGTACGGGTTGAGCTCGAGGGAATTGGCGGTGCTGGATCGGGTAGACAGAAAAAATCAGGGCTTAGAAGGATATGGTGGGGGCGGGGGGCTGACGTTCCCCACGGCGGCCTGGCTGGCGGTGTCATTCCGGACTGCCGCCAAGCAAAAATGCGGCGACCGCCAGTCGATGATGTGAACGTTGACCAGGCAGTCATACGATGGCGTAAATATCAGTAATTCATCTCTGAGCATTTCCGGCGTTTGAACTTTCTAGAAAATGGCCAGTCGTCTGCTGCAATTCTGAAAAGGTCGCACCACTCTCGCATGAATGATACCCGCATAGCCGCTCCCATAAATTAATTTCACATCACCATGGCCTCGTCAGCACAATCGGCAGAGGCCAAGGAGCTATCTCTCATCGGCAAACCCGAGCTCAGGATCGCTCTGGCTGACTCGGATGAAAAATTGCAGAACACACTGAAGACATATCTCGCTCCGTTGCTTCTCAAACTTGCTTCGCCACACGCCAGCGTCCGTAACAAGATCATCTCGGTTTGCAGCCACATCAACACCAGAATAAAACCAGACACGATAAAATTGCCTGTACAAGCACTAGTCGAGCAGTTCAGAGCACAAAATGACGTTGCTTTGATACGACACTTCGATCTCTCTTATATTCACAAGGGCGTCCCGCGGCTCTCCGCAGTGGAAAAGAATGAACTCTTTCCAGTCATCCTCAAAGGCATCGCCACCAGCAGTAGAACTTCCGCCGAGCATGCATCGCAGGTCATGAATCTGGTCTTCCAGCTCATCGAGTACTTCACCTTCCCGAGTCGAGGCACAGAGCAGGACCAGCAACTACGTGCCAAATTGGAGATCGGTGACGATGACGCTATCTACCTTGCCTCATGGTTTGGCAAGCTCATACTTTTTACGCTGGTGAAAAAATCGCAACCGGGGCATAAGCCGACCTGTCCGGGATTGACGCAGGATGAGTATTCGTTCCTAGCTTTGCAGGACAAGAGTGACACTTGGACACCGAATGCAGAGACCGGCCTCAATTTAACACAAACAAAAGCTCGTGTCGCTCGTTTACTGGCAAGTGGGCTTTTTAAGGACAACGAGCGCTTCTTACCGGCTCTTTTCGCTTCTGCAGATCCTGCCTCTGCGGTCTCAGATGCAGGCGAAGATATGCTCAAGCGAGTTGTACCTAACACAGACTTCGAGTCGCCGGAGATTATTAAACAACTTCTGGTCTACTTCTTCGGCGATACAGAACAAGGAGGCAGGATGAAGGTGCGGTCGCCGCTAAGAGTCAAGATTCTTGGTCTGTTATCAAAATCTCTGACCAGCACTACTTTCACTCACGACATCATCAAGATGGTAGAGGAAGGTCTCGCTGCAACGGTTGCTATCAATGGCATGGATGCTATGGATATTGACGGTGGTCCCGCATTTGCTGGAGTTCAGCAGATCTCATCTCACCTCGCTAACACGACCTCCAAGAAATCAAGTGGCGGATTAGAAGTGGCAAAGTTTCGTGCTGCCCTTTTTTCCTACATCAACTTTGTCGCCCGTCACGGAAAACAGGAGTCACTCCATGCTATCGCTCCGCGGGTCCTTACCCGTCTTCGAGACTTCATCGAAGAGCAAGGGTGGCCAAAGGCTGCATCTATCTCAAGTCAACAGGAGCTTGAGTCTCGAGGATATGCCTACGAAGTTATTGGTCTGCTTGCTAAAGCCGGTCCGGAGACTTTGATCATAGAGCCAAATCTTGATATTTTGCGCTGGTTGTTCCGATCACAAGCACACGATCGCTCTAGCAATAATCTCACGGTCAGCATCGATGAGGCGCTTTCAACTGTCCTGACTGCTTTTTCAAGAAAGGCGTCGAGTAGAGACACTGCTTCCGCCCTCGAATCTTTGCTGCTCAATCAAATGGAAGAATCAGCCGAAGCAGCGAAAGACCCCGAGTCTACTCGGAGGAGCACCCGCTACACTGCTATACGCTTTGCCAATCGCTGTTTGCCTTTTTCATCTGTCAGAGCCAGGGTCATCGATCTCATGGCTATCGGTGCGGGCATGAGCGATCGCCCGGAAGTCATTGAAGAGGGCCAGCGAGGACTCAGCCCGTACTG